TTTTTTACAAATATTATTTCATCTGATCCTCATCACCATTTTATAGCTGGGGAAACTGAGGCAGAAGTTAAGTGACTTGCCCAAGGTCACAGAGCTAGTAAGTATCTGAGGCCAGATTTGAACTCTAGTCTTCCCAAGTCTGGGCATAGCACTATATCCATTGAGCCTTTGGTACCTATAATTTTCACACAGGCCATTTCCACAGCCACAGACTACATTCCCAGCCCAAGCCAGCCATCTCAGATATCCATACATGCTCTTGGTGAAAAAGGTATGTACTTTCTACACGTTATCATATGAAAAATGGTTACTAGCAGGTTACTATCAGCAGGACATTCACCCCATAATTATTCCTAGAAACACAACTAAAATCTAATATCCTTGAACATTTTTTAATATGATGATGTACAAAAGCAGTGTGATATAGTAGAAAAAACACTGTACTTGGAGTCAGGAGCCACATATTCTAGTGCTAGCTCTACCATTGATTTGTTCAAAGGTCTTGGATTAGTCACTAGATGTCTTCATGCCTCTGTTTCTCCGTATGTAAAATAAGGACAATAATATCCAGCCTACTTGTCTCATAGTACAGCCTTAAAAAATCAAATGGAATAATGCACATACAAGTACACAGCACTTTACAAATACCAGGAAATGTCATTCATTTTCATATTAAAAGGTTTTCCCCCATTGACCACAAACTATTACTAGGTCCACTCATTTCTCAGGCTCATATTTATGTCCATCATAGTTAATTCCATTCTATGACATATTGTTGGGTAGCACTTTGAAGCTGATGATGTGTGAAGTGCCTATTCTTCACTGGTAAGGTAGAGGATTGTCACTAAAGAATAGGGATGTCAGAGCTCCATCATTCCAAGACTATGGGAGGGAGCAACTTTTTCAGTGTTAGTTGCTGGCAGTGGAAGAGCAGGAAGACCAGACCTCAAGGGCCTGTGAGAGAAGAAAAAAGAGATGTGAGGCTTCTTGGTCTAGGAATTATCCCCAGATAGTTTAGTAATCAAAGGATATCCCAATCCCACACACTCTCATACTGAGGTACAGCTTTAGCATGAAAGAGAAAGACACAAATGCACATAATCCGAATGAGAAAGGAAAAGGAGAATTGTATAAAAAAGGCTGACACAGCTACACAGGGAACTCATTGGCCATCTCAATTTTATTTTTTTAAACACACACACACAAAATGAGATCAAGGGGAAGGGGAGAAAAGGAAGAGGGAGAGAGGGAGAGATAACTAAAAATGTTTACAGACAAAAGAGTGACATGATCCTATAAGAATATGTCAGAAAAGCTAAGGCCTAGAAAAGCTATAGTTTATATTGAATGCTAAGACGACGACAACAATAACAAAAAGACCAAAGGATGATAAAGGACAAGATAGTAGCATTATTTGAGCTGGACAGGACAACAAAAATGGATGACAGAAAGAAGGTGGTACTACCACTACTCAACTGTTGCTTTGTTTCTATTTTCTTTACCAAGAAGAATGAGTTCCAGACTGAGGAAGATGGAACAAATATTTAACAGGAAGTTTAAGTCCAAGTACCTGGCCATTCTGAATGAATTCAGGTCATCAGATCCAGATAAAATACAATCCAAAATATCAGTATAACCCACAATAACCAGGGGAATGTGGTATAGGCATAGGATGTCCAGATTTCAGAGAGGTATATGGCAATGTCTTCCTTATTACCCTTGTAGAAAAGATGAGCAAGGTCTGCGTAGGTGACTGCTCTCAGTGAGCTTTAAGAAAAAATGGGGGAGGGAAGGAGATGAGAAGAATAGAAGAGACACCACAAGACTGATGGCATTGTATCCATTTTCAAAAATGGAAATAGTGTTCTGAAAACTCTGTGTCAATGAGTTTGACCTTAATTCCTGCCAATAATACTAGAATGTATTATTAAGGCCATAGTTTGTAAGCACTTGAAAGGTATTTTAAAGACCACTGAGTTCAACCCTTTCATTTTACAGATGAGGAAACTGAGGCCTTTGAATTGTGCCTCTCCCAAAGTCACACAGGTCATAAATAGCAAAAATGATATTCAAACCTAAGTACTATGACTCCAAATACTGTCTGGCATCTAGACTGGTACAATCTGGGGAACGTGGCATAGGGAAAGTATGCTTTGATTTTAGAAAGGTCTATCACAATGTCTTTCTCATTATCCTTATAGAAGAGACAACAGAGTACAGACCCCTCATTAGGTAGATTCAAACTAATTGAATGACCAGACCTAAAGAGTGGTGATCAATATCAACCTGAAAAGAGTGGGAGCACAGCACAATGGCTAGAGGGCTAACCTCAGCATCAGGACAACCTGGGTTGGAGCCCTGCCTCTGACACATATTGAATGTGTGACCCTGGGCAAATCACTTAATCTCACGGAGACTTTGGAAGCTAAGATTGTAAGCTATAGACTAGTGATAGATACGTGTTCGAGAGAACAAGTTTTCTCACCTGGAGCTTTCTATGCCAATGAAATCAGAGGAACAGTTTAAAAAAAATAGTCCTATTCAACACTTTTATCAGTGCTTTGGATGAAGGCATAGATGATATATTTATCTAATCTGCAGATGACTAAAAGCTGAAAGGGGTAACTACTAAATTAAATGAAAGAACTGGGATCCAAAATCATCCTAATAGATTGGAACAATGAGCCAAATTGAATAAGATGAAATATACTTCAAGAATCTATGATTTCATTTGTGTAGTTATTCCTGCACCAATGCAGATAACAACCCCTCAAAGACTTAGGAGACAGCCTAATGAATTGCTGTGACCAAAAAACATTCATCACCCACTGGCCAACCCTTTGGTACTAACTTAACTAGGCTAGTCCTCAGAAGACAGACATAGAGTCTGCCTCTGAATCCACAACCCAAACACTTCCAGCTTCGTAGGACCAGACAGAGCTTAGGCTCAGCTCACTGTTTCCCTCTCTGTCATGAAAATATACCAGAGGAGGACCTTAAGGAAATATGTAGAGTCCTACCCTTGGGTTCAAAAAATCGGCCTCACAAGGACAGGACAGAAAAGTTATTAGAGAACTATCATGTGAAAAGGATGTGAGGGTTTTAGTGGACCACAAGCCCAATTTCAGGGCAGTTAGTTGGTACTGTGGATAGAATGCGGGGTGTGGAGTTAGGAAGACGTAATTTCAAATCCAGCCTCCGATGCTTACCAGCCATGTAAGCCTCGGTAAGTCAGTTCATCTGTCTGCCTCAGCTTCCTCAACTATAAAATACAGATAATAATAATACCTACTTCCCAGCATCATGGTGAGGATCAAGTGAGAATATTTGTAAAATGCTGTGCAAACCTTAATGTGCTACATGAAATTAATTATTATTATTACCCAATGCCAGGCACATAGTAGGCACTTAATAAATATTTTCCTTCCTTCATTCCTCAATATTAGTCAGCAGTGTGGCACCACAGGCCCCAAAGCTTAATTCAATCTTAGGCTTCATTATTAGAGCTATAGTGCCCAAAATAAAGGAAATGATAGTCTCACCATATCCTAACCTGATAAGCCCACAATGGAAATATTACGTTCGGTTTTAGGGGTGCCACATTTTAGAAAGGACACCGAAGTTGGAGAGCACCTGAGGCAAATGACTAGGATGGTGAGGAGCCTTGAAACTGTACCATATGAGGACCTGCCAAAGGAAATGGGATATTTAATCTACAGGAAAAAAAAACCTAAAGAGTACACCATAATTGTCTTCAAATATTTGAAGGGCTTTCAGGTGGAAAAGGTATTATACTCACTTTGTTTACTTCCAGAGGGCAAAACTAAGACCAGTTACATTGCTTGGAGGCAAATTTTAGCCAGACATAAAGGAGAACTTCCTAATAATAAGTTCTGTTCAAAAACAATATGTCCTGCCTCAGGACAGAGTGAATTTCCTTCTTCTGGAGGTCTTCAAGCAAAGGTTACATGATTATTTGTTGAACACCTCGTGAAGGAAATTTCTAGTTCTGGTATGAATCGGCACTTCTAAGGTCCCTTCCAACTCTGAGATTATATGATTCTAAGAAAGAACTGGACCAGAAAACCTCGAAGGTCACCTTCCAGATCTATAACCTTTAGAATGGCAAATGATCATGTCTTTCAAAGTTTAAGCATGATACCTTTTCCCTCAAAACCACACACACACATACCTCAAGATTCTGATACACAGAAGATAAGGCAGGGTGGGGAAGAGAAAGGTGATAAGTAGGTGGAAAGATGGTGTCCTGGTGTTTATTCAAAATGATGTTCTCTTCCTTTCCCTCCCCCCCCTTCCTCTCCCCCCCTCTCTTTTCCTTCTCTCTCCTTCCCCCCTCTCTCCCTCTCTTTCCCTTCTCTCTCTTCCCTCTCCCTCTGCATGTTTTCTCTCCTTTCTCCCCTCTCTCCTCTCTCTCCTCTTCCCTTCTCCCTCCCCCTTCACAAACACACACACACACACACACACACACACACACACACACACACACAATAAGAGTATCTCTATACAAAGGGTCAAAAGCTTTACCTAAATACTCTTGTAATACTGCGAAGTACTGGGCAAAAGCTAACTTTTATTCAAGCAACAATTCTTAGTGTACCCCTCAGCAAAATCACCAGTATTTGTTTTTAACCCTGTTATCATCACTTCAAAGACAGGAAAACTGAGGAAGAGTATTCAATTCATTCAAGATCCTAAAACAGTAACCAAGACTTGGAAACTGAATACTAATGCCCAAATCACCTGACCACTTTGCCTTCACCACAGGCTAGCTCAAGTTCCATTAGGATGCTCATGGATGACAAAAAGTCTCAAGGGCAGCTAAGCTTCTTGGTTTAGCTGACAGGGATTTAATAAATATATAAATAATAGATTGCATGTCCAAAGCTGATTTCTAGGATTTCTCTTCCCAGAGAGGGAGTCAGAAATGGTCACCTTCCTTCACTTGACACATACCCACATACAGCCATGTCTGTACTTACCGCCATGACCAGCTCAAATGGATACTTGTAGACTCGAACTGGAGACTGATATTTCTGGACCATTTTCAACTGGAACCTGCAATCCAAACCATACAGAACCGTTTTATTATTTTTTTAATTCAGCTAAGTTGTAGCTTCCTAACTCTGAAAATAGGATGTTTCACACTCCAACTGCTGTTCAGTGGTATGGGAACAATAGATACTAGACTGTAGCCCCTCAAGTCAAGTCAACAAGCATTTATTAAGGACCTGCTAGGTGCCAGGCACTGTGCTAAGTGCTAGGGATACAAAGAAAGGCAAAACACAATCCCTTCTCTCAAGGACCTCACAGTCTCATGGGGGAGACAACAGGAAAACAACTATGTACAAACAAGATATAGACAGAATAAACTGGAGATAACCTTAGAGAGAAGACACTACTAGCATTAACGCCTAAGCTTCTTGAAATGCTGAGGCATTTATGGGGATCTGGAGCCGCCAAATAACTGCCCCTTGGTCCCAACCATCAATCTTGACACTGGGCCCAAGATGGATATTGACCCTGAAGGATGAGCACACACATAATACAGTCATTCAAATCCTTTCACACCTATGGGGAGGCAGCAAGGTATAGCAAAAAGAACACTTTCTCCGGAGTCAGGGAAAACCCAGTTCAAGTCCTAAGTCCTACCTCTTCTGCTTACTACCTTTGTGACTTTGGGCAAGTCATTTCATTTCTTTGGGTCTCAAGCGAAATAGTTGGACAGAATCTCCAGCTCTAAATCTATGATCCTGAGAGGCAGCTGAGGTAGAAAGCTGGCCTCACAATCATTAAGATCAGGAAACCTGTGACATGGTGGCTTTGTGATTGATTAACCTTTAGGCGCCTCATGCCACTCTCTTAAGACTGTAAGTTTCAGAACAGTTGCTTATCTACACTGGTAGAAATAGTTTCCTGATTGGGAGCTTCCTACAACAACGAAATTATAGGTCTGGACCCCACCTCCAAAAAAAAAAAAATCAAAGAACAACACTCACTCACCTACATATCCAAATAGGAACAACCACCCCTCCCCTTATTTGCCTACTCCCCCACACTAAGCCAGTGTGCACATACAGCGCTCCTCAAACTCTCAAATATCCCTGCACATACACACACACATACACACACACAATCACTGCATGCATACTCATCTCTCACACAAGCCTGCATGCATTTACAACACCCCTCACTGAAACCCTCACGTGTCCCTGCACACAAGACGCCCCCAACACGCATTCCCAAGAGATCGCGCGCGTGCACGAATGGACACATGGACACACACACACACACACACACACACACACACACAGAGCCTCCACCTGTGCTCGATGCTGTGCCCGGGCCGCCGTCCTCCCTGGAGGGACCAGAGCCCGGGCTGAATGCTTCCCTCGCCACGATCCTGGACAGCGGCTGTTCCCAGCAGCAGGGTAAGGCTCTCGACGAAGAAAACTTCTCTAGGAGGGACACAGAAAGCAGGTGAGGAGCGCCTCCGTGCCCCCGATCCTCCCAACCTCCGATCCCCCAAACTCCCTATCCCTCCCACCCGGTCCCGCGGCCGGGCACCGAGCCCAGTTACACGCGGAGAAAATCCGCGGCCCGGCACCCGGCTCCTGCTATTTCTAGCAGCGCCTGGCCTGGCCCCAGAGAGGCAGAAGGCGCCGAGCCAGGCTGCGCTCCCGGCTGCAGCTGGGACCGCCCTACCCCGCCCCATCCCAGCCCCCCAGCTCCCGCCCCCGCCCCCACCCCCACCCTACCTCCGCCTCCGCCCCTGCCCAGGTCTGTCTGCCCATTTTGGGGTAGAGGAAGACTTGAGCCCTAAAACAAACTCTTGGAGACTGCAAGGGGGTATCGAGGGCCGGAGGGGTAAGGAAACAGCCCCTGGAGCCAGCAAGTACAGAGTTCCAAACTAGAGCCCAGCCCCTACAGACCCTCAATCTAGCCACGCCCCCATATAGCCCCGCCTCCATAGCTCTGGTCCCCACCCTCGGCCCCCCACAAATCCACGCCCCCTCTCAGGCTGGCTTCGCCTGCCTACGGGGGCTGGTTCTTTGCTCCGCGCTCCGCCCTAGACCTGGGAGCTCAGTGGCCCTTAGAGACCTCCTTCGTCCCCAAGCCTTAGTTCAGAACCTCTCTGTTCAACCCAGCTCCTCCTCCCTGCACCCCGCCCCGCAGCCGCCAGAGGTCACTGAAGAGCTGCTGGTGGTGAAGCCTGCTGCCCTCCAAAGAGGTTTGCGCCCTGCCCTGCACCTGCCGACTCTTGACTGCCTCTATCACCTGCGGGGTAGGGCGGTCCCAGCTGCAGCCTGATACAGAGTACGCTAAACTGTCTTCCAGACCGTTAGGGCTATCCAATTTCTTAACATTATTAGTCTTAGTAGTAGGACGAATTCTAACAGAAAAAGGAATAATAGAAGTAGGAATAGGTGTAAAAAATGTTAATAGAGAAATAGGAATATAAATATTTTAAGTAGGAATGTTACCAGAAGGAATAGTAATAGACGTATCATTCGTATTATTATTATCTATCATTTATATAGCGCTTTAAGATTTATAAACCTTTACAAATATTTCATTTTGTCCTCACATCAACCCTGGAGGAAAGGTGCTATTATCTCCATTTTACAGATGAGGATAGTGAGCCTAAGTTAAATGACTTGCCCAGGGTCAAATAGCTAGGAGGTATATGAGACAGGAATTGAACTCAGGATTTTCTGATTCCAAGTCCAACATTCTATCCACTTTGATGCCCATTATTAATTAGAAAATGTTCATTTACAAAGCACTTTAAGTTAGGGGTTCTTAACATTTTATGGGTCATGGAACCCTTTGGCATTCTGATGAAGTGGATTCCTTCTCAAAATGTTTTCAAATTGTAAAACAAGTATATTATTACTGAAATACAATTTTACTGAAATACAATTGTCAAAATATTTTTAAGAAACACAAGTTCACAAAGCTCAAATTAAGAATCCTTACTTTAAGGTTTACAAAGTGCTTTCCTTCAATGCCCTGTTCAAATTCCACCTCTTTTCTGAAACCTTCTGCAACAATAGTAATCCTAAGGGATCTGTCTCTTCTCTGAATTCCAGAATAATAATTCACATTTATATATCACTTAAAGTTTTCTTTCTCATCTTCATAACAACCCTGTGATGTAGATAATGCAAGTATTATTACTCCCATTTTACAGATAAGGAAATTAGAGTCAGAGAGATTAGTGGCATTCCAATTCATACGGTGTCGGTGAGATGATTCAAACCCATATCGTTGAATCACAGTCTAAGCATGCCCCTTTTTCTGCTCACAAATTTCCAGTGGCTCTTATTTACCTCTCAAATAAAGTTTAAACTGTTTTGTCGGGAATTTGAAGCCCTCCACAATATGGCTGGCACCTACCCTTTCAGGTTAACATCCTCTACACACCAGGCAGACTTAGCTACTCTGCCTCCTAGACTTTTCTCATCTTTGGAGCTACATTCACAGTTTTCTCTCCCTGTAAATGTCCTCCTTCTTCTTTGTCTGCTGAGTTCCTACCCATCCTTTATATCCTAGCTCAAATGCCACTTCCTAGATATAGACTTCTTTGTTCCTTTTCCATTCCACTAAACCACAGGCCTCAAGGCCACTCTAGGTCCATAAGTGCGTCCCTTTGACTGAATCCAAACTTCACAGAACAAATCCCCTTAATTAAAGGATTTGTTCTATAAAACTTGGACTCAGTCAAAAGGCCACCTAAGGACCTAGAAGGTCACATGTGACCTGGAGCCCTGGAAACACTGCTTTGTTCTAAGTCTCTCTAATACAGTTTGATAGTATTATAAATTATAGTTGTCTTCTCTTCCTTGACTGGAGTCTCCATGAGGGCAAAGGCCATGTCCTATCCCCTAGCACACAGCTCATATGTGTTTGTTGAATTAAGCTGCACTGAATTAGATTACTATTAGAAGGAACTATGGTAATCTTCTAATCCAACCTCCTTCATTTTATAGATGAGGTAACTGAAGCCCAGACAGGGAAAGTCGCATACCAAATCAGTGGGGGAGCCAAGATTAGAATCCACATCTCTCTAGTTCCTGTCCAGTGCCCTTTCATGTCACATCACGTCAAACTGCTATCCCAAATTGTAGTTATTCAAAGCTTAACATTTAATGCTTCTCTAATTATTTCATGCGTGTTAGATATATCTCCCCAACTAGATTCTAAACTCTTTTTGAGCAAAGACCATGCTTTTGTTTCCCTCACCAGGCTAGCACAGTGCTGGGCTCATACTAGGTAGTCAATAACAATGTTGATTCATCATCAATCAGATCTAAATCTATGATCCTCTGATACTATAATTTCTGGGTTTTGTGCAGCAGCCTAGCCATGCAGCAGGACCCTGCCTGATTAAAGTCCTTATTCCACAGGCCAGTCTTTCAAATTTCCCTTCCTGGTTTTCAAAGTACTAGAGACTTTATCTCCATATAGTACAAATGCTTTATTCAGATCTCATATCAGAGCATATCCCCAATCTTTCTGCTTTCTACCACCCCCATCATCTTGCTCCTGGGATATACCTCCAGAAGGCATACCAAAGGGCTGAATGATCTAGCAAGAGGAGCACACAACACAGGGAACTATTTTTTTCATCTTTAAGTCATATTTTATTTTTTCCCAATTGCATGTAAAAACAATTTTTAACATTCATTTTTTAAAATTTTGAGTTCC